AGAGTTGAGACTTGAAGCCTATGAGAATTCCAGGTTCTACAAGGAGAAGACGAAGATGATCCATGACAAGCAAATTCTAAGGAAGACTTTCAAGGTTGGAGATAAAGTGTTGCCGTACAAAGCACGATTCACATTTAAACCTGGGAAGCTGAGCACTAGATGGGAAGGACCATACTTGGTCACTAAAGTGCACAAGTTTGGCATGATAGAGTTGCTAGATGAGAAGAGCGGCAAGACTTTCAAGGTCAATGGTCACCTGCTCAAAATCTGTAAGGAAAATTTTGACCCACCATAATCTCAGGTTGTCCCCTTCCTTACATACCTTAGTCTGTGATTACTTGATTATTTTCATTCTTGAACTCCAATTTTGAACAAGTGTGGGGGGGGGGACATAAATAGTAGCAAGTGTAGGTTATTTTTAGTTGTTTTTGAGTATTTTGTTCCTTCTTTCCATTCCTTCCTTACCAGTTTTCCTTGCTATCTTTTGTTCAAATTTGCATTGAGGGCAATGCAAGGTTCAAGTGTAAGGGAGTAAATCTTGTGCTTTTGTGTGTTTTGTGTGTTTTGTAAAACCTCAGTTGTCAAAAACTTTTTGAAGGTTTAAGCTTGCTTCAGGAATTCTAATGTTACATTTGTGATTGACTTTGAATTGGAAATTAATATCCTGAAGTGAAATTTTCTAATACATAGAGATTAAGCATGATGTGTTCTTTAGCTGAAGTGAATGAATATGGAAGACAAAGCCTAGTTGGAAGGATTCTTTGAGCCTTTATATTCATTTCTGATGTGTGCATTCACTTATTTCTTATGCTCTCTAGAACTTGTCTTAGTTCTTAATTAAGACCACATGCAACATTAGTACTCTTGAACATGATTGAGGCATTCATTCAAATTAGCTACTTAGACCAAATGGCTAAACCCTACATGACTTATCCCTTGTTGCCCATTTGAGCCTTTTTAGTTGAATTTTAGCATTCATTTCACTCTCATTTATAAAACCTCTTTCCTACAAGGATGCATATTTCATTTCATTAATTCCTTTTAGAATTCACTAGTATTATGATGGATTCAATTGATGGATTGATATAAGGAAGTGCATACCTAAGCTGGAAAAAAAAAGAAAAAGAAAAGAAGAAACATGCGAATGTAAAAGAAAAAAAGAGAGAAAGAGAATAGAAAAGTTGAAAAGAAATGAAAAAGCAAGAAAAGAAAAGAAAGTGAGAATAAAAGCACCTTTACAGCCTTAGAGTTCAAGATCAAGAAATTAGACCCTCAATTGAACATTACTAATGCTATTGAATTCTACACATTGATTCACATATTAACTCCCTCCTCATATGCATCCTTGTGCATTTCTTCCCCACCTTTACATTACAAGCCATAAAAGTCCTCTTGATTCTTGAGTACTTATGTATTTGAGTGGTGGAAAGGTAGAGCTATTACAAGCATATGGTAGAGCATTTGAATAAGTGAATTGAGTGAAAGAACCTTTAATACTTGTGAGTTGAGTGATACACTAACTCCCTTGTGTGATATTCTATATCTTATTCACTTAGATTAAATTACATATCATTGCTTGATTTCTTTACATTAGAATGTTCCATGGATGGATGTTGGTTGAAGAATCATTGTTGGTTGCAGTTGTAACCTGAACTTTTGAGCTTGCTTATTCCTTTCTCTCATCCTTCTCTTTCACAATATGTTTAGACCTGATTTGCCCAGGAGTGCAAAAGCTAAGTGTGGGGGAGTTCATAAGTCTTATTATTTGCATACATTTCTAGCCCTAAACTCATGCTTTTGCCATCTATATTTGCATACTTTGGGCATAATTAGCTTCCATTGTGCATAAGAGTTGGTGAGAGGAATTGTGAGGTTTTATAGGTGTTTTTGCATGGTTTTATTTGATTTTATATGTGTGTACTTTTGATCCCTGCTTTGGTACGAATTTCAGGAAGTTTCAGTAGCATTTTCGCCATTCTGTCTGAGGCGCCACGGCTGATTTGGGAAGGCGCCGCGACAGATTTCCAATGGTACTTTTGGTAAAAGGCGCCGAGGCGGATGGACATATGCGCCACGACAGATTGAAGTTTTCATGAAGCTCAGGATCACTAATCAAAACGACGCCGTACAGGACAGGCGCTGCGGCGGATTGACGGAGGCGCCGCGATGGATGACAGAAAATTTCAGATTTAAAACCAGAATCGCGCGCTTCAGCGAAGGGACCAGATTTCAGTTTGTCATTCATCTCCAGACGCAATTTTTCTTGCTCTCTCCGCCCTCTCTCATTTCTCTCTTCCATTTTCGTCCAATTTCATCAATTTCCACCGATCAACCATGGATCTTTCATCAATTCTTGCTGTTTCTACCCTAATCCAGAGTATGAGTAGCTGAATTTCCAAGTTCTTCTAGCAATGAAGCTGACCTGAGTTCATGGAGCTGAACAGGGAGTTATTCAGATCTAGTTTCTACTTTCTATTCTAAGGTTCATTTGTTTCAGTTGAACAATTGTGGTTAGAATGAAGGTTGGATGATTAGATTTATGTTTCTTGGGATTTAGATCTGATTGAACATTCAGATGTGAGTTGTGTCCTTTAATTCAGTTGAATAGAGGATTCTTTGTTGATTTGTAAATCTAATTCGTTTTACTTGGACTGTTGTTCTGTAAATCTGAATTTTGGTTGAATATATTGATGATTCACAGTTGTGGTCATCCTTAGAGAATTGCAACTTGCTTCTCAAGTGTTCTTGTCAATTGATTTTCCTTCTCACAGATCAAGATAATGAATCTAGTAAGATAAGTTGTTTCTGATCTGTGTTAAGAGAGATTTGAGCAGTAGCTGAATCTATCCATTTAATTGACATTAAGAGACTCCAAATTATAAGATTGAACAAGGAAGGTTGGATAAATTGCTAGGGGAACTACTATCTCTTATCTGAATCTTCTTTTGCCTTTTACCTTTCATTAGATTTGTTTCTTGTTTCAATTTCTCTTTTCTGAACTCAAGCTTTCATCTTGGTAATTTGATAATTAAAAGTGAATTGTTAAGAATTGAAATACAACTTAAGGCTCCTTGTGAAGAATGACCTAGGTAGTGCCTCACTTGCTGCATTTCCCTAGTAAAACTTTGATTACCTAGCGACAAGGTCTATCAAATGATCCACAGCCTTGTTCCATTGCACAAGCCTGCAGACTGGTCAATATTTCGCAACAACATGACTGGTATTCCGACCTTCAAAGAGAGCTTGTGTGACGGCATCCCGGAGCAGTTTATGGTGTTGAGGAATTGTGTGGAGTACAAATCTTGGAATGAGCTGCTATCCTGATCGGTGCTGGAGACAGAGTCAGAGCTGAGATACTGAACAGAGTCTCCAGGGAGGAGTGAAAGCATGTAATCATTTATCTGGTCGATGACATTGATCGTGGGGGTCAAAATTGCCGTTTCTGTGAGGTAGTTTGGATGTGTGATGTTCTAGTGGAGTGCAGGATATGTGGATAAGACTATAAAATGGATAGGGTCGAGGGAGTTGGTGATGAGGAAATCGATGGGGATCTCAATGTCCGTCGTGCCCTCATGGGGTAGTCCAATTATATCGTCGCCAACGTCAAGCAACCATTTAGAAAATTTACTGATCTTTTTTTGGTCTATTACCTCTGATGCTGTCTGCAGGCGCATGTTTTTAGTGAGCTGGAACAGCTTGCACGCCGACCAAAGAACAGATGAGTTTATAGCGGCATCTATAATGTCTGCATGGAATCCTTTCGGTATGACAGGCAATATCTACCTAAAATTGCCCCCCATGACGATGCACTTGCCACCGAATGGGAGGTCGCACCTCATTATATCCTTTAATGTTCGATTGACAGCCTCCACACAGTGCCATTTTATCATCGGCGCCTCATCCCAGATGATTAATTTTACAGACCGCAATAAGTGAGACAAAGGGGAACCGTGGCTGATGTTACATGTGGAGTCTTCATTTATGTCAATGGGGATTGCGAATCTCGAATGAGCAGTCCTTCCTGAGGGTAGTAGAGTCACTACTATTCTGCTCTATGCGACGTTGATGACCACATCTCCATTTGCTCATACGGCTACGGTCAGGGTGTTCCAGAAAGGTCTTGCCAGTGCCCCTGTAACCGTAGACGAAGTAGAACCCACCGATTATCCCGCTGATCGCATTGAGGACTTCGTGGAATATCTTTATTTGCTCATCTGTCAGTGACGCTACCAACCTTGCGGCGTCTGCGGCACAAGCATCTTTATCGTAGCTAAGTTCCTGGAGTAGCAAGTTATTTGTTGTGTCCAAGAATTCGGTAAAGCTTGGTTTTGGCAGTGATGGGTAGTCGTCCAATAACCTGCCGTTCTTTAGGAGCAACCTCTGAATCTCAATCAATCCAGCGTCCTCCCTATTTGAGTTCGTGATTGATATTTTTGCAGGTCAAAAAAAGTAAGAGATGTCATGGCCTGACACATCTAACATCAATGGACGTCACTAATGGGGGTGATGACATAGTGTCAGTACAGGGTGCAGATTGTAGGTCCAGAATGTTGTGAGTGTAACATAGTTGAGGTGATGTCTATTCTACCTTGATGCCGTGGGTCGTGCCGTGGTATGTACAAAAGGTCTTCACATATGAGATGCTTTGTTTGCTCCCAAACTAAAATGGGGTTAGACAAGCAATGGCATAACAGCATGCTAACGAAGAATCTCCTAAGGTATTGACCTGTAGCCCAAAAGGCAGCCTCTTTTACCGCATCGATGTACTCTTGATCATCTTGAAGCAACCCCAGCGTGTAGCACACAGCCCTGAATGTTGGCTGGATGACGTTGTCTACTATCCTGATGTCTCTGTAGCTAAGGGGCCCTCTCATCTTAGTCAGCAAGACTCGGAGGTAGTAAGCCTCACCTTGTGATGGTGATACATGAGCTAATCTGCCAACAGAGAATCCTCTTTGGCGCAGCCTCTATTCCCTCTTTTGCTTATTGAAAGTGCAATACTATGGGAACTCGGTATATGTTAAGGTCCTTGCGAATGAGTCTTCTTTATTCTTAGCAAGCCATCCGAGAAACATTGACTCCTTCACCCGGGGCCTTTTAACTAGTGAAGGCATTTCATCATTGGCCGTGTAAAAAATAACTTGCTGATCAGAGGGGTACCTGTGGTGAATGTCAAATGAGAATATTCGCCATGTGCTTTCGCAGGCTGAGATGTATCTACAATTAAGGTAATGTGAGATCTCATCAAAATCGTGTTGTGAGTTGCCGAGCTCATCGTTGTGGTAGATCCCTGCGATGACGCGGTCATGGCCCTTGCTGATGTATTTGAATAAATACTTGATAGCCCTTGATTGGTTTGTCTTTTCGACATTCAAGTGGCCTTGGAAGAGCCGTAACAGTTGAGCATTGTACAGCACGACATATCTGTTGTCCAACTGAATCCCTTTTTTCATAGTCATTCTGCCATTGTTCCTCCTGCGATATGTGGGGTACCTCTCATCGTCTATTGTTGTGGTGAGCCGTGAAAACACTAGCAGATAAGAGACGGCCAAAACTAGAGAAGGGAGGACGGATTCTTCGAAAATAAACCTTAGAAGGACAAGAGGCGCTAGCACGTCGTTTGTGATTGGAATGCTGTTCGTGTGGATACCGGTAGAGGAAGTCGATCTGAGTTGTCGACTTCGAACGACAAAGGAGGCTAGCAGAGGCATCTTGAACGGTGGAATCCCCGAGCCACCAAGAAATCGAACATCGAAGGTAATACTTCTTACTACTTGACTTAAACACAATCGGTAGATCCGGGCAAGGGATTGAAATTTTTAAATTTATTTTCCGTTGCGTATCTTTCAATTCCCTTCAGTGGCATCAAAGCCATGTCGTTCTATGTTTAAGTTAGGTTCAGTTGTTGATACATGTGATGTATGTTAAATTTCTTGGTTGATCATGTGCGCTGTGTCAGACTAGTTATTTCTGTAATTCGAATTGAACCTGCATATTGTATAATCTGGAATTTGAATTGAACATGCATATTGTATAATCATTGTGCAAAGATAATCGTTATGAACGTATGAGATTATGTATGACATATAGGGACTCTGAATTAAAACTGAAATCGTCGTTACATGTAGCGTGACTTAATCGTAACATATACTGCCTTTCTTGGTGTATGAATGTTTTAGTTTTGTAACACTTATTGCCCTTCACATAATATGAATATTGATTCTTGACTGTTTGGGTATGGTGAACAATATGGCTCTAGATTACAAGTGTTGTAATTTTTCTAAATACGGCCTGCGTGTTGTGCCTTCCTCTACGTTCTCTCGATGTACATTCTCTTCTCATCTCACTCCCCTCAATGTTAAAAATGAGGTTTCTTTATGTAATTTTCTTTTTCTTATTAGAGAGCTCCTCTCATTGGCTTGAGGGGACTTAGGGTAGGTGAGCCATATTGAGTCACATTTAAAATCATGCATCTTATGATTATGTTACTATATGTATGTTTTATATGCATATTACTTGTATGAGATACAACCGCGATACATGCATTCTTGTAAACCAGATAGTTAAGCCCTCTGAATGAAATCTTAAGTCATAATGCCGTCAATTAATGAACACTTGTCAAAACCTCGATCGCTCACTTGCAGGCTCCACCAAAGTGGGTGCATTTAAGTTATCTTAGGGAGATAAGCAAGAGTAATGGTGCTACTCACATATGTTTGTTATTGTTTGACTTAATTGAGACTAACAAAATGGTTTTGGGTCTCAAGGCATTAGATGGGATTAAGACATGCCGGATCATATGATGATAGAATCCCATGAACATCTAAGAGTTACATTTGATGTAATTGGTAAAGGTGTTAGCAACCTAAATAACTTAATTTTAAGCGTCTTGCCAAAGCGGACTTAAGTTTAAGCCAAATATGGATCTTAGCCCACTAATTATTACATTGAGGGTTGTATATTTAGTGGGAGATTGCTAATTTAATTGCATATTTTAATTGTAGAATCATGATGACTAGTAATACTGCTACATTATCATTGTGATCCGTCCTTGAGAAGGACAAACTCAATGGGACAAACTTTCTTGACTGGTTTAGGAACTTGAGAATTGTTCTCAAGCAAGAAAGAAAGGCACATGTCCTAGATCAACCCATTCCTGAAGAGCCAGCAGCCAATACTCCTAGAGCTCAAAGAGATGCTTACACAAAGCATAAGGAAGACTCTGTCGATGTGGGATGCTTGATGCTTGCAACCATGGTTCCAGAGCTCCAAAGAGATCTGGAACACATGGAGGCTTATGAGATGATTGTCCATCTCAAGGAAATGTTCCAGCAACAGGCAAGGCAAGAGAGGTACGAGACCACTAAGGCCTTACATTCCTGCAAGATGGCTGAAGGTGCATCAGTCAGTGCTCATGTCTTAAAGATGAAAGGGTAGATTGATCACCTTGAAAGGCTTGGATTTCCCATGAGCCAAGAGTTAGCTACAGATTTGATCTTGAACTCACTCCTGGAAAGTTATGACCAATTTGTTATGAGCTACAACATGAATAACATGGAGAAATCTATTTCTGAATTGCATAGGATGCTTAAAACTGCTGAGCCGAGTGTTAAGAAGAAGCCCAGTTCTGTTTTGATGGTTCAGAAAGGAAAGGATATGAAGAAGAAAGGCAAAGGCAAGGGCAAAGGGAAAGGTCATGGCTCATCTGGTAAGACCAAAGAGTCAGGCAAGCCTGAAACCAAGCCTGTACCAAAGAAGGCAAAGCCTCCAAAGGAAGGAGTCTACTTCTTCTGCAATGAACCTGGTCATTGGAAGAGGAATTGCAAGCTCTACCTCGAAGATCTGAAAAAGAACAAGAAGGATAGCGGGGCTATCACTTCAGGTATTTATGTTATAGACATTCATCTTTCTACTTCCACTACATAGGTATTAGATACTGCATGTGGTTCTCACATTTGTACAAATATACAGGGTCAAAGGACAGTAGGAAGCTGAAGAAGGACAAAGTTGACCTACGAGTTGGAAATAGAGCAAGGGTTGCTGCTTTAGCTGTAGGCGCTTATGAATTAGTTCTGCCCACTGGGCTTTTGTTAGTTTTGAACAATTGCTATTATGTTCCTGCTTTGAGTAGTAACATTGTTTCTCTTTCTTATTTGGATAAGGAAGGTTATACTTCCATTGCTGGGAATGGTAGATGTTCTATTTATCGTAATGATGTTTTCTATGCTCATGGTGATTTGCATGGTGATCATTATATATTGAATTTAGAACAACTCAATCATGGAAATATCTATAACATAACTGCCAAAAGGGTCAAACCAAACAATTTAAATCCGACATACGTCTGGCACTGTCGTCTGGGCCACATAAATGAGAAATGCATTTCTAAACTCCATCAAGATGGATTTCTCAACTCATTTGATTTTGAATCATATGATACTTGCAAGTCTTGCTTGTTAAGAAAGATGACTAAGTCACCTTTCACTGGGCACAGTGAGAGGGCCACTAATTTGTTGGGCCTCATACATACAAATGTGTGTGGATCGATGAATACAAATGCCAGAGGAGGTTATTCATACTTCATCACATTCATAGATGATTTTAACAGATATGGGTACATTTATCTGATGAAACATAAATCCGAGTCTTTTGAAATGTTCAAGATATTTCAAAATGAAGTACAAAACTAGCTTGGCAAGACAATTAAAGCCCTTCGATCTGACCAGGGTGGTGAATATTTGAGCCAAGAGTTCATTGATCATCTATGGAATTGTGGGATAGTCTCACAATTGACTCCTCTAGGAACACCACAATGGAATGGTGTTTCTGAACGGAGGAATCGAACACTATTAGATATGGTTCGATCCATGATGAGTCGAACAGATCTTCCACCGTCCTTTTGGGGCTGTGCCCTATAGACAGCTGCGTTCACACTGAATCGTGTTCCATCTAAGGCAGTTGAAAAGACTCCCTATGAGATATGGACTGGGAGAAAACCGGATCCGGATTGCCTCAGTATCTCTTTTCTCAGCGTCCCTCAGAATCCCAAAATCCTGTCCATCCATATGATCCAAAAAGTCACATTGTGCCACGTCATAAGTACGACAAACAATACCATTCAACCTTCGCCTCTCTCCTCTTCCGACACCCAACCACTGGTTAGCAACAGCCATCTCTTCCATGGCCATGCTTATGCTTGCCTTAGCTATTCTTCCTCAATCTCCCACCTCTATCTTTCTTTTGTAATCATCCACTTCCTCCTCCTCTTCCTATGTCAGAAATTTTATCCCCTACAACACATCGCATTCTCTAATCTTCTCTGTGGTGACATTACCAGAACCACTGAAAGCGAAGTTTTGTTTTAAATTCGGCCGTGGATCAAGTCTTTGTGGTTGACTTTCCTCCGCCTTCACCACCGTCTCCTGGAAACAGAAGCCTGCCCGCCGATCTCAATGGATAAAATTAAAGTCGCCATGCTTCCAAATAGAGACACCCAGACAAGAGATCAATCAACTAAAAGAGTTTCTCTTCATGTGCGCTAGTGTATATACACGCGGGAGCTCCATAGAGATTTTTACCCTTTTGGCTTTATTTATCATTTAGATTAGTTTTCATTTTGAGACCTTAAATTGCAAAGAACTTATTTTCCCAGTGAAAAATTTGCACAGTGAAAGATATTCAGTTCACACCTTAATGGTTAGGACTTGGGAGTCGGTTCGGTTGGGACTCGAAAGTGGAGAGAAGAGCAAAAGGTTCAGACACTCCTATTAGTGGTACTTTCATTTTTAAGAGCTTCATGACGTGGCGCAATGTGAGGTTTTAGATCATGTGGATGGACAGGATTCGGGGATTCTGAGGGATGCGGAGAAAAAAGATTCTGAGACGATTTGGATCTGAGAAAACCTAGTTTGTCTTTTCTCAAGATTTGGGGATGTGAGGTCTATGTTAAGCAACAAGCCTCAGATAAATTAGCACCCAAATCCTCAAAGTGCCTTTTTGTGGGATATCCTAAGGAAACCAAGGGATACTATGTCTACAACCCCACCGATAACAAAGTGTTTGTTGTCAGAAATGGTATCTTTCTCGAACGAGAATTTATCTCTAAAAGAACCAGTGGGAGCAAGGTAAATCTCGAAGAAGTTTGAGAGCCACAAGACACCATAGACCTATAAGTGGAAACCGAAAATAACTCACAACAAGTTGTTGAGACTCCACAAGTCACGCAAGGTCCACGGAGATCTAATAGGGCACGGTTTCAGCCTCAAAGATATGGATTTCTGATTGCTGACAATCGTGATGTGTTGCTCATTGAGCATAATGAGCCGAGTACCTATCAAGAGGCTGTAGTGGGACCAAACTCTGAAAAATGGCTTAATGCCATGAAGTCTGAGATGCAATCCATGTACGACAATCAGGTTTGGACCTTAGTCGACCCGCCTAAAGGTGTAAAAATCATTGG